CGCTTCAGCGGTCCTTATCTCAAGGCAATGTTCAGTTCTAAGACGAGCACCAATATCTGAGTGCAAGTCACTGATGTTGAAAACCGCCAAAATTGGTGAGGCGAAAATGTTTGAACGTTTGCTTACAGCCATCATCATTTCCAAGGAGCAAGTTAAGACTCTTCCTAGGGAGTGCGACGGGAGGTATTTCGATGTTGGTATTGTTTGGGAGATTAGCGGCGACAGTGCCCAATGCCACAAAGAAGAGAACAGAGTGCATCATTCTGGAAACGCAAGTGTTGAAGTGAGATAGAGAGTGTCTGAAGCTAATGTTTCAAAAAGATTAGCTGGTTGTTTATTTACAGTGTGCAAACCACAAAATAATTTGGGAAAGTGACTGCAAAGGGGAACAGCGGGTATTGGTGGGAAACCGACTTATGTACGTGTCATCTCTAACAAGTAGGCACTGCAGACATTACCACTGATGTTCCGAAGGCAATTGAATTTGGTACGTGTTCGCGTGATCGGTGTCGGCGCACGCCGACTTGAAACATCAAAGTCATAAAGGGATGTCTCAAGGACCCAGCAGGGTCGGAAGATTTTCGGGGGGCCCTACCTATGTATATCATCATCTCATCAACTCGTCGAGATTTGTCTGGCTTCATGCATGAAATTGAAGTCGTTGTATACTCTATAACAAGGTATTCAGACTTGAAACTGGTTTCAGCTCCGTGAATCTCTTCTGAAAGAAAGTTATGTTGATTTCACATTCCGCACTGATAACAGACCCACATCGTCTCATAACTTTGATAAGGCGTACTTGCCTCAGTCATTGTATGGTTTATGTAGTTCAGTTTACAGTGATCTTTTAGTTTTTTTGCTCATGACCTGAGATAGACAAGAGCAGACCAGGTGGAGCAGACCACGAGGAGACAGCAGATGGCAGTCTGAATCTGTCACGCAAGGTCTGTTCGCACCGGTCAGAGGATGTGATCATGAAGAAATCCATGCGTATTAGACTTGTCATATAAAGTATGGTATTTATGTATACTTATGGCGTGCCAAATATGTAAGACCTGAGGTGATGCACTGCAGGTTTTCAGCACCTTCCTTTAAGAAGCATATGAGGCTATCTGTAGATTGCACGAGTTGGATCACATCATCCATCTTTACCCATAGAACGAGGAAATTGAAATAATGAGGTCGCTTTAGGTAACTTGGTGCTGCGACAATGAGTTATGTGGACTCGGTGAGTTCAGGGGATTCTGACTGAGCATCTGTGATTGTTGACTCGGAGTTGTACATGCAGGAGGAGAGGATCACTTACATTCTTGATACTCATCCAAGTTTTGTTTGGCATGATCTTTGACTAGTCCCAGTCAATCAAGTACAGCAAGTCTTGCTCGGATGTAAGGGAAGTGTGAGATCAAAATGGCTTAATGGAAAGAGTCTATCATCAATCATATCTACACGTTTACCATTTCGAATTAAGAAGCGTCATGTTCTCTATTATCATATGCAAGTATGACATCAACTCATGACTAGTGACACAGTTTACCAACATTATTCCCATACCCTCTATGTAAAAATTGATACAGTAAAACAAGAGATAGAGCTGGAGACAATTAAAACAACATAAACCCCATTATCGCTCTCGAAGCCTTCACAGACATCATCCTAAGAAAAATGAACAGCATTATGGAGATGGGGAGGATTGAGTTCAATGTTCTTATGCGAAGAGGCAGGGCTCACACTTGTCCCTGTACGGGCACTGGTGCTGCTACCGGTGCTTTTAGTAGTGGTATGGGCAGCAGCAGCGGCTGCAAAAGCGTCAAAGGAAGGGGGGTTCAAAAGTGGGGCTGATGCCCGCATGGAAGGGACAGGAGTCAGATTGAATGCAAGATGAGGTAAGGTCGAAGGAGTCGAATGTTGATAGGATATAGGGCCATGTGGTGTCGGTGATACTCCCCTAGGATTCATCACCGAAGACTGTGATGTGGTCGGTATGAACATGGGCGGTGGTGTCGGTAGAGGTGCAAGATGATGGAGACGTGGAAGTGAAGGAAGGAAGGAATCGAGTTGATTGATAGACGGCAGCCGCGTAACCTGTGGCTTCAAGGACGCTGAAGAGGAGGAAGAAGCTGAAGACATTGGCCGAGGCGGATGGGACATAAATGCAGGTGGATTCGATGTGGGCACAAAGGGGAATGTTGATGACGAGATTGGGACGGCTTTGTGACGCGGAGGTTCCGGTTCTGTGATCGGCGACTTTGACGGGGCCGGAGGGGAAGCAGCTGGCTTGATAGTGAGTCTCAATTTGTTGACGGGCTTTGGCATAGCTGAAGTCGCGGGAGCCGTCGTTGGAACGCTCGCATAGTCATGGACTGTTTTTTGAATTGCTAAATGGAAGAGAGATGAATGGTCAACTAAACTGACACAGTTCGCCGAACAAAAGACGCACACGCACATGTCATCTGAGAGGTTCGCGAATCAGCACGATATGCTGGAGCGTTCAGGATTGTGAGATCACGCTGCGAGGGGCCCTTCGAGCTGGAAGCATGTGGCAACTCCGTCGAAGTCTTGACTGGCCTACTTGATCCTCGCTGACGATTGACATGATCTTTTAGTCTCAAAGGTTCATCAGATGGATCTACGGGCATCACTACATGATTGTGAGATCGCGATGCTGGACGAGGTGCTGAGACGGGCTGCGTCGCTTCGATAACATTCACTGGACCACTCTTGATGTCAAGGTCACACGGGGTACCGGCAATAGGATTGACATGATTGATGTTTTCCTGCATATCTGTATCATCATCGTCGTCATCATCATGATCCTTGTTCTCCCCTAGCTCATTTTCGCACTCTTGGTCGGGCTCAATGGATGTGTGCCCAGTCCGGGATGGGCCCCTGACCCTCACTTTGGTCTTCGATTTTGCTCGACTTCTTGCTCGAGGTTTCGCACGTATCCTCACTCGTGGGGTAGATTCTGGAGCAGCATTTTCACTTGGTTTGCGTTGTCGAGGTGGAGCGGCCGGAGTGGGCTCAATCACTGTGGCAGATGCCGGGGCCGACTTCTGGAGCACGCCCAATGCAGCGACCATGTACTCGTCCTCCAAATCTAGCCCCTTGCCCAAAGGTTCCGCGATCACTTTGGGCAAAAGTACGCTTGTTAATACCGCGTCCAGTCGTCGAGCTTTGCGCAATGTTCCGCAACTTGGAGCTTGGGCAGTTGTCTTGAATTTACCAGCGTATACCTGTAGTGCAGTCTGGGTCGAAGATGAATACTGAGCTGCTGGTCACCTCTGGTATGGAGAACATAAGTTAAGATACATACAAGATTTGTAATTTCATCTCGATCGCCAAGCGCGTAAGTGGGTTTTTCATGTCCGGGAGAATGAGCTGAACACCAGATTTTGGGCTCTAGGCATCCTAAATAACTCGCAAACGCAGAGCTCAGATGAATGTGTCTCTGTTTGAGTGAAACCTCGCTCTAACTTACCCTCTTCATCTTTGAACCTGATAAAGTCGAGTTCCCTGTTCCGTTTCCGCTTTGGAGGTTGCATCTCAAACCGAAGTTTATATCCTGCAGCCCAAGCACAACTGACGTGTACTTGTTTGGTGCATCCATCACACTTGACACATGCTCCAATATTATGCTTTCGGCAAATTTCGCAATCCTGAGGCAATAAATTTAGATTAACAAAAGCAACATGCATCGGGGAGTATTGAGCTTACTCTGGTACGTTTACTGGAAGGTATCGATGCGAAGCCTTCCACCTTTTCATACGTAGACGGCTCACTGAACACGAGCTCTTGATGCCATATGGCGCATAGCAGATGGACGAACCTGCCAAACAGATATCTGATGAGCTACTAGAAACCTTGTAAAAGTGTATTAAGACAGAAACGGCATACGAGTTGTATTCAGTGAGCTTCCAAACGTCCAAAGCTGACAATGGGTCGTCCTGCGAGATCAGCGGCTGGTGACCAATACATAAGCTGCAGCTTGGAATCTGTTTTTGCGAAATGTTGGGGTACGGTTTTAGCCTTGTCAAGGGTATGCTGGCTGAAAAACGCGCCTGGAGTTACCTTTGGTAATGTTTTCGAGCCCGCCGTCTTGCACAACAAACACAGCCACTGGGACATGTCCGTGTCGTTTTCCAGCCCTCCGCATTCTGGATGAGTAACAAGTGAGGATCAGATTTCTCTTTTGGGAAAAGTAAGAAAAAATGGCTCACCTCGGTGGCATGTAAGAGTGCAGCTCTGGCAGTGCGCCAATTGGGCAGTTGGTTCCGCTTTCTGGCACAAAACACATCTGAGAAATGGCGCATAGAGAGCTAATTAGCAATTTGTGTTCGGCGTCTTTACATACCCGAAATTGCTCACGCTTTTGTGGCAACACGAAGACAGACGGGGGGCGGTGAAGGCAATACATGTGAATGCGGTGGTGATGAAGGTGAAGTCATCGGTACCGAATGGACGGGACTCGTCTCCCCGGTGGCACTCTTGGCAATGGGGGGCTTGGACTGCTAGAGGTTTTGAAAAATGATAGTATAAGCAAGAGGCGAGCTTTGGATTGGATCGAAGGGAAGATACATCTTACTTTGTTGGAAACTTTAGCCCTTCGGTCTCTTGCTATTAATGTTTATCACCGCGATTAGCTGCAAGGTATCTTGACCAGAGCAAAGGATTTTAGAGCTTGACATACGTTTAGCGTCGTCCTGTTGTGTAGAAGGTGCATGATGCAATCCGTCTAGAATATCAAATGATGGAGAACGGTCAGGGCTGATGATCCCGACTTTGTTAACCGTGCCTAGGGATTTGCTTACATCTGCGCCATCGGAAATGACATTCGTCACAAATGCACTTCTTGGCCAGAGCAGCGCCAGCCAACAGTGCATCCGGACACCTTCTCCAAGTATTGGATACCCTCGTTTCACATACAACACATATGTAAGGTCGTTTCGTCGACGGTGGAGGGAGAGTCAGTGCATTTTCGTCCGGAAATTCACTTGCTGAGGCGGCCACTCTCGAATCATACGCAGACGCCTCGGGAAATTTATGTCTGCGGAGCCGTACAGCGTACGCGGCGTCAGCATTGAGTGAATAATCAGAATGGTAACAGAGAAGGAAGACGACAAACCCTTTACACATGTAGTAAAACTGGGCGATGTTAAATGTGGTCTTTTTTGGGAAATGTTTCAACATTGCACGTAAGTCTTCGCCCAAGTCTTGAATAGCTGAATCCATGCGGTGAGACTCTGTCTCGGTCCAACTGGCAAAACCTAAAGATTTGATGGACAGTGCCTTGACCTTTTCAAAGGCTTCTTCGTAGGTCGTGGACTCGCGGTGATATATGAGAGCTCGGTCAAGAAGGCTGACTCCGACATGTTTGGACGCCGGGAGAGAGGTCACTTGCGCTAGGTATTGTTCTAGGGTTTGTATTTCTTCAGACGCCATCGATGATCCGGCGTCAGCCTCTGCAATCCGCCGAGAAAACTGAGTCAGCAGCGCGACATTGGCATTCCTGAGATACATTGCGCACCTTCTTGAAATTGCTCAACGGTCGATATCACATCAATAGTCTCGTCACCTCCCCGAGTTTGTTCGACTGCGAAGCCAGGAAAATATCGATGAGTATCATCGAGACAGGTCGGCTGTTGACGTCATTGAAGCGAGTGGCGACGTACCTTCTGGAGTCAGAGCTTGGGTATACGGTAGCGAGCCATCCCGAAAACGCTTCTCAACTTTGCACGGACGACCGACTCTGTTAGCAGGGACCGAAAACGGGACAAATTCTTCCGATGGGTCGTCTGGCACGTTTGTCTGAAAACGTGGTCCCAACCGCTACCAGGAGTGATCAATTGAATCAGATGTCGAGCAGAGATCACGAAACACGATAATATGTAATTGTGTCATAAGCTTACAGGTGGAGTATAAAGGAAAGGCAAGTCGAATTCATCTGATCACCAGAATTGACACCCAAAGTCAAGTAAATGTGATCAGTAAGACTGATGCTTGGCGGAATTCGATAGGCAAATAAAAGCCCAATGATACGTATTAAGAGATAATGTACCGAGAACTGTAGCTGGATCGGTGTATTGACCGTAGTAGCGAAATGGCCATCCATCCACAGTGCGTAAGGTGCCGCCAGCTTCACTTCCAGTTTGAATGACCGTCATAGTGGGAGCTTATCATAGTTTACTCATCAGTTGAAAAGCCTGATAGTGAAATAGGCAAGACAGGTTAGATGATGTGGGCTCACTTTCTTTCTTCTTCCCCTTGTCGCGCAAAGTGCGACCTGACCCTGAGACTGACGAGGGTGTCGCGTCAAGTCCTTTAGACAAGCTATCCTCGATTTGATCCTGTCGTTGCTTGGAGCAAGGGGCACAAGCCCACGTATAGCCTCGTTCTGGCTTGCGCGTCAAGGGTGGATTCAGACAGGCGAAATGATACGCTCGACTGCAGAGCGCGCATGTTACAGAGTCGGCCCTGAGGATGTCGAAGATTTAAAAAACAAAAAGCTGGATCAGAAAACTTCCATACCAATGAGAGTTACGCTATAACATCAGCCAGGGTGGCTGATGCAAAAGGATCCAAGACTTAGGTTGGCCAAGAATTTCGCATATATGACGATGCACAAGTTGTACCACAGCGGCTCGGCGCGCAAGTATTGAAAATATCGCATATGTGAGAAAAGGTGGGGAAAAACTTACCCAGTGGCCCAATTCTGGCAGGTTACGCATCCTCTTCTCTCGTCGCCAAGTTGGGGTCCCATGCCACCCTCTGCGAAAATATAGCTATAGTTGTTTCGCAGGTATTGAACAACTTCGGCTATTGTGAATGAAGCGCAGTGAAGGATAGTAGTCAGTTGCTGGAAAGGCCTGAAAATATCTTGGGGTTCCTCACGTGGGGCGTTTTTGACATTCTCTGTGGGAATAACATCGTAATGGCGGTGAGTGTATCTTCCATAGACCTGTTGACGATGGATTGTAAGAAGATGGTAAGTGAAGTGTCTAAGATAGGTCGGTGGTGGTAACAATATCAAAGGGCAATCGATGGATGGGACACAGATACACGCAGGAAAAAATGTGCAACATGAAGGGATCTTCACAAAGCATCAAAGCTCAATTGAACAAACTTCGAACAAAGGGGCATTGAGCCCGGGCAATATCATTCATTGTGGAATGGCGGCAAAGAAGTACAATCCCATACACTCCCTAAGATATGGGTGGATCAAGTCGGTAGTTGGATGCCAAAAAATGGGAAAGAAGGTTACAAAAGGAATGGAATCAGGAGTCAACAAACCTGATGGAAATAAAAACAGTCGGGACTGTTCTTTAACTCTTCAAGGTCCTCTCCCAGTGGCTTGTAGTCAACTCGACATTTGCCTCGCAATCGACTGATTGAAAACACATCATATGTCATCGAGGCTGCCAGGAGCCGACAATCAATTATGTGACGAGTCACTATGTCTCTCTGGCGGTGGAAGTGGCCGAGTTTGACTTGAACGATTGGGGGGAGTTTAAGAGAACTCTTTCTTCTCTTTTTGTTGGTCGAATTGGTAGCAGAAAAGTTCTGGGTTGACGTGGATTGACTTGGTTCACGAATGAATTCCATGATCCTGCCGATCAACCAGGGGGCGCCATCTGACGTATTCCACGGAGCGGATAAATATACGTGGTCTGCAGAAAGTCAAAAGGTAGATGATTAGAGGCCGGGCAAAGTAAGATATCTGAGATGAAGAAATCGGCCTAAAGACGATGCAGACAGGCCAGCGCGATAAAAATGTAGGCTGATAGAAAGCAAGCCGACGAGATGCGGTCAAAGACGGAAGTGGATGATGACTTGACCGCAGGGTCACGTTGGACATGCGATGGCGTGGAGGAATATTGCAATCCTTTCGTTACAGAGGTGAAGCGGGTGGAAGGAAATATATTACGAAACAGAAGCCGAGGAAATAGACGAACCGTTCAGGGCGTAAACCTCGCCAGCTACCTCGATGCTTTCCTCCATGTCTAAACTCTTCATCTTGCGAAGGGCAGATCGAAGTAACTTCAATACAATGCTTAACTGTGGAGGTGTGACAGGGGAGAGGAAAAAAGACAACGAATTTGGAATGCCAAGTAGACCTGAATGGGTCACTGAGATGTAAGGGACGGAGAGGGAATTGAATGTAGCAGAGGGGCAGAATGGATTGAGAATGACAATTTAGACTTACCGGAACGTCAAGGAGACTGAGAAGTGAGAAAAGATGGAGAGATTGAAGCAGGGCCGGGTAAAAAATACGGTACCGGTCGAGAAGGCAAGATAGAACGTACGGCGATCAGCCAAGGAGGGAAAAAAGTGGGATGCGCGTGCGAAAGCGAGCGGGTCAGAAGAGGGAAGAGAAGGTGAAATGTGGATAGTAGTCAATTTGTACGGCTCGGTCCGCGAAGACTGGTCATAGAGAAGAATGCCAAGCGAACGTATGTTGATGTGACGCTAGGAGGTAAGGAAGGAAAATATGACCTACTTGAAAACAAACGCAGATGCTTTTCGAAGAGAGGGGACAAAAATTGGCAATCCAAAGGGTTTTGACTGTGCAAAGCTCGGAGTACTGCCAAGGGCAAGCCCAGCGGTGGATTCAGAGTTGTGATACGTTGACGGCCTTCAGGTAGGAAAACGAAAGAACGAGTTGAGTTTCGAGTTCGGCGACTGGTGTACTAAATGATGGTTGGTGAATATAAGGTGAATGATGAGTGAAAGAGGGATGGTACGAAACGATGTACAAGGCCGGAAAAGAGAGCATTTGGGAAGGCAATAAAGAAAGCGACATACTTTACCTATTACGCCGAAAAACTTCAACGACACGATTCGAGGGGAATGACTGTGGCAGTGGTCGAAAGTGAGGCAGGTGAAGATGAGTGCGAAAAAAAGAAGCGCAGATGGGATTAGCGCGAGGAGATACACTCTGCTATGAGCTAAGAACAAAAGCTTGAATGCGGGATGTGATGTGGAACAATCGATTTTGAGGACAAGCAGAGACCAGAGACCAACAGCCTGATAATAGAGAAGGCCAGGTGGTGAGGATGGAGCGGAACAGGGAAGAGCAGATGAAGTCTGTATGTATGACAAGATACGAAGACAAGAGGAAATACAGAGACTTTAACCGAAGATGAATAATGTACCGACCTGAATTCGGGCTCAAACTGAGAGAAAGATTTAGGTAAGAAAACTATATTGGACTAAGAGGCAGCGAAATATAGTCGGTCTGAAAAGTGTCAGCGGGTCTGCTGAAGCCTGAGGGGGGAGCTGGACGAAATAAAAGAGTAAAGAACGCGAGCGGGAGAAAGTGATATATTGAAATGTATTGATTACCCATGGGACGTTTGTGGGCAAAGGATGCGGTCAAGTGCGGGTGAGAGGATGATTTGATCGAAGGCAGGTTGAAAGGAAAATCGTGTCAGTGAAAAGTTTTTGCAGATTATAGCTTCTTAGGGTTTGACTCACCTGCGGGTAGATTAAGGTGAAGCGGACACTGGTGACGAGCGAAAGTGAGTGAGCGAGCGAGATGAAAAAGGCGATGGGAAGAAGACGAGCTTGGAGGTGCAAGGAAGTGGGATGGTGACAGAGAGAGAGACGAAGTTATAGAGACCGTAAATCAATATATGGGATCTGATCGATTAGGTCTATCGGAGCTTGAGACAGGAGTCGAATGAGTAATTACGCTCGAGGAGTTGCCAGCACCGTCAAAGGATAGTACTGCCGGCGAACAAGATTAGGATGTGATGCAAGAGCTTTTGTACTCTGAAGAGGCTTCCTATGAATCAATGGTAGGGTTATCACAATTCTAAAATCAAATTATGGGAAGACGAATAGGAATGATAGATATCGAAACCAAGTTCGGAAGAATTGATGAAGATGAGGTCAGAAGCGAGGGATGAGGGCAAGCTGTTTTGAGATGAGGAAGATTAAAAATTTGGTTTTTGTCTGGGGATAAAGGAGAATGCTGTCACTGTTATGTTGATAATTGACAAGCCAATAAGAAAGAAACGGTCAAGAGATTATAGCATTAAGCTGGATTCATAGCGCATAAATCAGATCGACTTGTAAACCCCTTCTAATCTCTTCGATACCCAACTTCAAGTCAAGTATTGACCTACCAGCTATCAATTGTTAAGAATCAAAGAGCCAGTATGATCTCCTTCAGTTGAGATTGAAAGCGAGAGATTTTAGAAAGTTGAATATCTCAAGATTCATTGATGATAAAAGACTATGTAGATAAGGTGAAGATTGGATTCTTTGAATTCAAAACTTACAGTGAAAGATTGAAGCTAACTTGAGATGTTTAATTTTGGATTGCAAGTTGGAGTAATTCTATGATAGTTTTGATGATGGATCAAGGTTGGCAAAGCAGAAACCTTCAAATGAAGTATTCTTTTGAATTTGATGATGTTGAGTTGAGCATTTGAAGGACAGATACGAGGAGATGTATGTCGTATTAAGGTGAGGGAGAAATTGATAGGAAAAGGAAGAAAAACAACCGAGTCTGAGCACTCAAGTAAAACTTGAATACACGTAGCAATTAGCAGCAAAAGCAATTTCAGGCATATCACCACATCGGGTCATCGATTGATTCCTACCATTCAAAAGCCATACTACTCTTCCTTTTATAACTTTTATAGCCCTCAACAATTTCATTATCATCCTGGAACTCTTCTCATCAAGCTTCGTCTGAGAAGCGTAACTTTTTCATCGGTTCTATCTAGTAATTGTAGCGCTATATTGGTCCAGCTGACTCTTTGAAAGGACCTTTTCACATCTCACATCGTGCTTCAATCCTAACTCTCGCTTTCCCGACCTTTATGAAACATCACTCGAAGATACACGAAGAAGTAGAAGCGCATTCGATTCATCAATCTTCAAATTCCTCAGACCGATACCAAAGGACAGCAGCCTGTAATCAACCGACCGACGAGCGTTCGGGTTCACATTAACATTCAAAACCTACTTACATGAGTTTATAGAACAAAACAATATGGATCCAGATAAGTTTGAAAGAGCTACGGAATCTCAAATTCGATATTCCCCGTATGGCTGGGTGGAAAACGATTCAGTGCAAAACGTGGATTATCGAACGAGCTCTTCAAGTTTTCCAAGAGCATATGCAACCCGCTACATGGACTTATCGTGAAAACTCGAGTTGGTTATGTTTGAATTGAAATCCCTTTTTACCTCTCAGGTTTTGTTCTTCTCTTTCTCTAAAATCAGTTGTGGTTACTTTTTCTAAAATTGGAGGCAAAAGTTTACAAGTTTCGGTTATATTTTGGGCACCCGAGGACACGTAGAAAAAGACAAGGTATACTGGAAACGGAAGCTTCCACTTGCCCAATGACTCTAGCAGGATATATGTCTGCAGAAAAGATATGAGGTATACAATACAAGTGCTCTACGCGATACGATATAGACGAAGGGAAATAAAGGCTGTCGAGCGCTATTATCAAGATTTTTCTAGTGTTTTCTTGGGTTTGACGGGCGGTTGGTGAGAAGAGATGTGTGAGGGGCCGATTTGAAAATGAGACGAAAGTCGATTATTTCAACTTGAACTGACCATGACTTCGATAAGTGACATCGGGCTTGATCTGGTTTCCAGTATTGTGGAGAAGCCCATGGGTCGGATGCAAACCGGAATTTGTGAAAAGGAACGGGATGCAGTTGAGGAATGAATCTATGTTTGGTGTGTTGTGCTGTGAGACGAGCGATGTTCGTGACGAGACCTGCGACGAGGCGGTGGATGTCAAGAGGAAGCGGTTCGTTTCGATTTTGTTTGGCTGGGTGAAATCCTAAGTGAGCCGCCTGGGCCTGACTCTAGTGAACCTCGTCCGGAGAATCGAAGCGAGATAACGATCAGATGAAGAACCAAGAGGAAATTGGCAAGTCAGCAGATAATTATGACAGAAAAAAAGGGCGAGGCCTTTGAAACTCTTACATGATGTCTTGGAATGAGTTCGTGAGGTTGTGTGTCAAATCATTCTACCGATTCCGTTTGCCTTCCATCGAAACCATCTCGTTTGGGAATCGAAATCAGATCAGCGTGATCGACGTGAACCTCAAAATTCCGACTAAAGTCTAAAAAGTATGCGTTAAGTGAAAAAAACAAACAAATTAGCTCTCATGTTACCTCATCATCAAAATCACCGGTTGGGGTACAAGACGAAGATACACCAAAATATAAAGACTTCAAAGCTATTTAAAGGTTTCTTCAAGTGTGTCATCATGTATCACCAAGCTTCTTGATCCAAGGAAACTTCAAGTCACTCCTGAAAGAGTCCAATATGACAAGCGGCAAGAATGGCCGAAGTGGACATAGAAAGTTCCGTTCATGTCATGCTTCCTCCCCAGGATCTAGCACGAGACATACGCTTCACCTGTGCTCAAAGAAATCCATCGCAGCAATTTGGCACCTACTGTTTTGCTGCCCCAAGGTAACAAATTCAATACATGAGTGGGAACTCTCAATCACTTTCCGGCTGCAAAAATTCATGTAGCTTTTGGTAATCATGGCACCATTGTACCCATTCTGCCTTGGAGTCAAAGGTACCTCATTTCAATCAAATTATCCCAGTCAAAGACATATCCATCTCTCAAACATATATTTCTTATCACTTACTTCAACTCTATTTACGCCAGCTCTTATAGATGCATCTTTGTATATTTTATTTTATGGTGGTCTGATGCTAGACCCATCAGCTTGAACATATGAGGTCTTAAAATTATAGCCAACAACTCTTTTGTCTACAATGAAGCTAATTTCAGCTTCCAGGAACTCACAGATAGGAGTGCAAGTCTGTGCAAGTAGGATCAACATTTTTCTTGCTTGACTGTTGCACTTGGGCAGTTATGTGACTTTTTTGTGGTCTGGATACCTCCATGATTTGGTAGGACAGTATAATTCAACAGTGAGTTTTATATCAAAATTTATTCGGGATCCCTGCACCAGGTGAGGCTAGATAGAACACAAGGTGTGTGTACTTATAAACTTCCAATTACTAGTCAGTTAAACCCATAATTCCTCGTGGAAACCATGACTTGAGATAAACTGTCTGACTCGTGGTCAGGCATCCATTTCACATTGGATAATAAAAATCAATTTCTATTGGTACTTTGTTTCTTTAGACCAGCCATTGATGAGGTTACATACCTAGATAAAACAAGCATTGAATATCTGCATTACCTTCCAAAATTATTGACATTTATTGTGTTGCCAGTAAAATGGAAGAAAGAGGCCAAAAAATGTATTGAGTACATTTTTCATTTGCTTGCAAACCAACTTGTATAACAAGGCTCATTCTGCCAAAATGAATCACTTGTGGAATCTGGGATATATGCATTCAGCTCATGTCCTTTAGTGTTATGCCAATATTGGGTATATCATGTAATTATTGTGCAATTGTTTTGGATTGAAGGAAAGAATTGAAAAACCCTGTGCAAATTGATCAAATCAATAAACCTAGCAATTATGTAACACCATTGAGGTATCAAACTTCATATATAGCTGAAGATCCTTTTGTGTTGGTCTGACTCCCATCTGAAAGCTGCCTCTGCCAAATCCTCAAGAGATCACCTCTTTAAATATCATCCTGAAGAGTCTGCATACTGTGCTATAAGTTTTCTTGAAAAATCCAAATTCAAAGGGTGATCTTCTTCCCCAACCGTGATTCCCCTAAGGTAGGGAAGTGCAGGTGGGTCATATGCTATATACTCAAACTATCCATGTCACTCAGCTCAATGTCATCAAAGGTCTTCTGTTTGTTCTTGATACAAATAAAGTTGAAATTCAAGAAAATGATACTGTCATCTGAATTCAAACAGCTCAAGATATCTTTAAGCTGCATTGCCTTGAAGAATTTGAGAAAAAATAATTCTCAAGATAGTGAACTCTGCCTGGTTTCCAATTTCCTTGTGTTTTGCTCACTTGGACCAGAGATCTTATTGGTGCTGGGTCTGATGGCTTCTGAGCCCACAGGCATATATGAATTCCACTATTTAAATTTTGGCCCTGTCACATCTTATCAGTTCATGTTTTCCTGGTTTGACAAGGTGGTGTGTTGAGAAAGAGTCAGATTTGGTGATCTTCACAGTCCCGGTGTAACATACCCGATGTTCTTCACATCAGACAGGGCCGTCGTCTGTGCTACGATCTTGCAGTGCTTGAATCTCCATCGTCACCTTCAGAAAGTGAGTCGTCTCAAGAACAAAAGTCTACATCAATTTAAGCAAAGTGAGTATTGTCCTGGACTCCTCAAGACGGAAAGGCTTCGAAGTGTAAGTTGTCAAGATCTCGTCGCTAACATTGTTGTAAATTGCATCTTGGAACCTTGTTCTAGTCTTATTCATCTTGCGGTGTGTACGTAGAGAACGGAATTGCTCGGAGATCTGGTGAACACTTCAAATTTCGTACATCGTTGTTGGGTAGAAGATCTCACTAGAAGTAGAGACGTATAAAGTTTCGCAAAGAGAGGAGAAACACTGATATGCGATATCTTGGTATCTTTAGCCTTCAGCATTCCAAGACCTCACGGTGTGTACGAATTCTTATTTCGGATCCATGTGATTGTCTGAATAACTGACAAATTGAAATGCTCCTTGTACAGATCTCGCACGATCACAAACAAAAACTAAACTCTTCTGACCGTTCTTCGCATGGATATTCCCGAACCAGCCTCACCGCCAATCTCTCCATCGACTAGAGCGACAGGTTCGAACTCGACCAACTCTCAACAATATATCACAGGGATCGGTCTCTTATTAATCGTGGTGGGATTATGGGTCAGGTGCGGGTCTCCATATTGATCAACCAAACCGCCAACTTGCTCACCTTTTACCGTTCTTTCGACTTGGATGTTGCCTTTCTACACAGTTCATCGTTTCTGATGAGTGTAAGCCTATAAGATTTCATGATGGTGTCTGTTTAATCGCGATGATCTGACAAATGTCTGCCACCACTTATCAGGCCATGTTCCGGGACGAATCATGGAATCAACCTTGGCTCGTCACGTCCGTCACAGCTCCCTTGAGGGTCATCGGCGATTGATCTGAAACGAGATCATTGACGAGAATCGATATTGCCAAACTGATTCCCACAGATACATCTGCACATCATCCTTCACGCTTTACCTAATCAGACCCGCGATATCATACTTGCGCTCTACAAAGGCTGGTGGCCGATTCATCAGCCCTTCAGATGAACAAGAAACACTTCAGGCCTCAAGGTGCTGATTTCTACTTTTCTTCTTTCATTTTTCGGCACCTCATCCTTGGCCATTTACCTTTCGTTTACGGTCATACAGAGGCGCATACACCCCGCTTAGAGATCAAGCAGAAGACACCGAGCCTCACCAGGTTAATATTTCGCCTTATATATCTCTTACCTTTTGCTCATCATACAGAAGCTCACTGATCGGATGAAATGGTATTTCCAGGCTCCAGCACGCTCGGTAACTCGCGCGTTTTCGATACCAGAAAGACCTCTGAACACCGAAGAAGTAGCTAGGCTGGCATCCTCCTTTGTTTGTCTATGGTTTGCAGCCAAGTTAGTTCACAGTCGCTCAAGCTTTATCATGACCAACATTCTAACGCTCGATGCGATTAGTTGGTCAGTCAATGCGGCACTCGGCTACACATCCGTCTCCAGTACCACCATCCTATCGTCTATGAGTGGATTCTTCACCCTAGGGTGTGGTGTGATGTTCGGGGTCGAAAAGTTTAGCCTTGGTCGCTTGATCGCTGTGGGAGCAAGCGTAATCGGAGTTGTGTTGGTCTCAAAGTCCGATCATGAGATGGCAAACGCTCATGGCACCTCTCACAGCGGTCAAGCTGTTTTGGGCGATGCTCTTGCATTGTCTTCGGCTGCATTATATGCACTATATGTACTTTTGATGAAGGTAGTTCAATATTTTATCAATCTCGTCCCACTCTGTCAGATGAAGCCTAGGGTCGCCTGGATCATTGACAGAATTTCCCCACGGCTGTAGGTCAAAGTGAAAGATGAATCGCGTGTAGATATGCAAGTACGTTACTTTAACAATCTTACCCAGCAGTTGAAAAAGGACTACACTAACAGGAGTTTTCTGGCGATCTAGCTTTTCTTCGGCTTTGTTGGAGTGATTTGTCTTCTGGGCTTTTGGCCAATGGGGTTTATCCTCCATCTTGCTGGCATAGAGCCATTCGTGCTTCCCGGCTCCCGAAAACTTTGGCTATCAGTCGCCATCAACGCAATGATTACTTTTGTTTCCGACTACCTGTATGTCTTTATTTTAGTTCAAGTGTTCATTGGAAAGAAATCTTGCAGTACTTGATGCTCTACTTTTTGTTAGATATATGCTTGCGATGCTCAAGACCTCGCCATTGGTTGTTACCCTGGTTAGTTGAAACCATTGAATCTATCACTCGACCCGTTTCATCCGACGCTGATCGTGGCGCATATTGACAGGGACTTTCACTTACATTGCCTGTGGCGGTCTTGGGTGATCTGATCAAAGGACTATCACTCCAGCTTACTGCTCTTGTCGGTGCTGCCCTCGTGTTGAGCTCATTTGTACTCCTTAGTATGGTGGAGGAACACGATCAATAGACTTATGTATCTCTTTAGCAATACTTTTTGTAATATCATGGTTGACTTGACTGTTTTGTTTGTGTGCATTGTGAATGTTCTTTCACTATTTTAATTCTATCTCTTACTGAGCATTGCATATTATACATATTTGTAGGCTTGAATGAAAGAATGACACCAAACAAAGATGACAGTGTAAAGATCAATCTCATCCAATTCACAGCCTCCAACAGAACATAGTCATGACTAATTCCTATGGATTCTCAATAATAAATTTCCTTGATGGTATACTTTGTATGACAGTGATTGTCCACTATATTCCCCCTTGGTTTTTCTTGGCACAACTTTCATCTATCCCTTGATTGGCTTTTTGGGCTGAAGATAAATCCATTTCTCTGTAACCTTGTTTTTTATTCTGGGTTCTGTAAAGTGCTTTTCCGCATTCCTCATGAGGTCTTCGGATAATTCCTTTGATCGGGTTTAGCTTGTAAAAAACTTGATGATATGAATCGGACTCGGATCGATCGATTCGAATCCATCTTTAGACCAATCTAATTTTCATTCGTTTGTTTTGATCATTCAACGCTCTGTATACGCAAACTGTGATTCTTTGAATTTCTTTTCCATCAATTCTCATTTCAAAGAAACCAATCAAACCAAAACTTAAATTCAAACAGATTTCAAAACTTTCACATCTTTTCCGTTTTTTTTAATAGGAAAAGGAAACCAGATGGCATCAACATTAACAAATGAACTTAAACCAATCACAGATGTAACATTAACTATTAGAATCATTAAATCATTTAAATTTAGGAATTTTAAATCTTTAGTTTTACATCATTTGAATGAACTTACGCTAGATGGATTATTAGAAATCTGTTTAAAAGGTATCTACACTCTGACCACATGATTTCCCTTCCTCTTTTTTGTGAATTTGTGATGATTGACTGATTTTCTTCTTTAATGATTTATATCTTCTTTAAAAATTCTTTTAATGAAAGAGATGAAAGAACAAACTGGTTGGAAAGCTTTTCAAAATTTAAAATTAGGTATTAAACTTCTTTCTTTTCTTTTCTCGCATCGCATAAACACAAACGTTTTTTAATATTGATTTTTTTTATCATTCAGATACTTTTAAATTATACACAAAAGCGCACGGTTCCAAGGTATACTTCTTCCTCAAGCCCCTTTAATATCATTATAAAAAAACTAGTTATGAAAAATGTTGATCTTGGTTTTTTTGTTATTTATTTGTTCAGACAACTAATCTGATCATCAATTTGGATCAAGATGAATTAATCTTTACTGATCATACAATCCATTTATCTGAATTAGGTTTAGGTAAATCTTTCATCTTTCCTTCTTGGCTACAACTTATTAACATTCATTGTTTTTTTTGGAATTATGATAGAAAATGAAACTGAGTTAAGTTTGTTTAATAGATTGGAATATGATGAATTTAAATCAAATCCAGAACAATCTTGGTAAAACCAAAAGTTTAATCATCAATCTTGATCTTACTTGTTTTGTCATCTTGACTTGTTACTTTCAAATTCGATTTCTTATTTTGTATATAATGCTTTGTACTACGAAGATAAAGAAACATCTGCAGCATTAATCCTCATAATACATTTTCCTTTGTGTTTTCAATCTTATTTTGTGTATTCTGATTTTCAAAGATATTAATGACATGATCACAATCAAGGAATCATATATATATAGGAGAAATATCTGAGAGCGTCTAAAACTTCATGGCAGGGAAGTTTGCTGTATCCTTACAGGCTATCAACAATCAAGAGGTCATCCCAGCCAATTTATAAATGTTAAAAGTTTGATGTTGATACCTGTTCTTATCAAATTCGGAAGCTCGTTGGAGAGATATTTTTTGTGAACTACTTTTGGGAGGCTCAATTATCAAGACTCTTATCAGGACGACGTCGAGTTAAAATTTTGTGGTTTTGAATTTGTCGGTCTGATTCTGACTGTAGAGAAAGAAATCATCAAACTTTGTTGAATAAAAACATTAATATTAGTTCTACTTTGACTCATTTATGAACAAAAGAGTTTATATTATTATGATTTTTTATCTTTCTTCAAAAAGAATACAAGATCCTATGATTCGAAATTTTTACACGCTTGAATTAGTTATTTAAGCTTAACGATTTGACCAAAGTTTTACACATTTTTAAAGGTTTTCAAGTCAAGATTTTCTATTACTCAAATCTTTCATCAGACAATTTCTTGCGAAGATCTCTTCAAGTTCTTGTTCTTGATATAATTATTTCATTCTCCAGTTTTCCAAAGATTCAAATTGGTATATACTGAAAGTCCCCCCGAAGTTTGGATTAAGTTAAAATCCGACCGACTTCAAAAGTTTTGTTGGGAGATAATCTTCTACCGATCGGTTTAAGTTCGACACGGTCTCCTTTTTTTGAAATCCGATGTTCATCATGTACAGTATAAATTTTCTGCCTAGAGATTGCCTATTGAAAGAATGGATAGATTTGAGTCAGTATTTGTATTTGATGAGTGAGAATGGTAAAGGAAAAGTCCAACCTTTGGTACCACAGAATGAACGATATAAGAAGTAGTTAATACTTTGATAGTTTTAGATTGTCGAGCTGTCTGTTGAACGATTCCTGTGATAGGTTTTGATAGGTTTTTGAATGTAGACATCTTGAATGCAGTTGTGGTTGATGGATTTGGGTCTTTTTACAGTTGAAGTGCTTGATGATCATGTGTAGAGTGAGTCCGGGACCGACTGACATACCCGATCTGATTTATGGGATGGTGCTTCGAATTAAAATGCAGTTTGGTTGCTGTAACTGTTACAGTGTGTATGTATGTGTATTTTGTATTTTTGGAGTTTCTCCTCAATTCCACTTCAAGGCATTCAAGACTCAAGCTCATCCGATTCCAGCTCAGCCTCCATCAACTTCAAGTCAACCTATCATCAAAAACCAATTCATGTTCAATTCAGCTTCCAACTGCAAGGAATTCATTCAATCATCAATCAAATCAACTTCAGGATTGATTTAGATTGTTTGGATCGGATCCTGATATCTAAATCTCATCGTATCTGTCCTTCAAATGCTCAGCCTCAACTCAACATCACCAAAACCAAAAGAATACTTCAACTGAAGGTTTCTGCTTTGTCAATCTTGATCCATCATCAAAACTATCATAAAATTACTCCAACTTGCAATCCAAAATTAAACATCTCAAGTTAGCTTCAATCTTTCACTGTAAGTTTTGAATTCAAAGAATCCAATCTTCACCTTATCTACATAGTCTTTTATCATCAATGAATCTTGAGATATTCAACTTTCTAAACTCTTTCACTTTCAATCTCAACTAATGGAGACCATACTGTCTGAGGTGCATTGAATTGAAATCATTTCGACGCTCTTATCTTTCTTCTAAGAATCAAAACTAGTATACTAAACCATTTGATGACTTTTGTTTACCTTTGCTTTCTCTTTACCTTCAATTCATCTCTTTAGATATCTTTTACCATCAACTTCATCTGATATATCAATTCGAGCTATAACGCGAAACTCATCTCAACTCTTCATCGAAATCCAAGGAAACCTTCAATCTTACCATGGCCATCTCTGACGATGAATCTGATCTATCGGATTCACTATCTTCAGCTTGTTCTACTGTACCTCTGCCTTCAAGCGAATTAGGTAGTCGAGCTGGTAGCACACATCCACCCAGTCCATCAAACGGCGACCCTTCAAGTTCCAAATCACCTATAAAGCCCGACCGGAGACTTAAAGGTCAAGTTGGTAGACCTAAAGGTTCAACCACTGCTGCTCTTCCTATCATCAACGATCAGGATCATCCGAAAAAGGCTGGTGTCCTCTCACGCTCTCATGCCTCTGTGGGTCCATCTACACCATCAGATATCGATCGACCGATCAAATGTGGATCATTACCTCCTCCATCTTCAGTCAAACATCCCAGGCGATCTAGTCTCAGTTCAAATGCTCCTCGCTCAGCAAAAGGGCAATCATTTGACTCTAAATCAGTCAACAATTTACCTTCCGATTCAATGCTCAAACTACCGAATTCAGTACAACATCCTTGTACCTCACATGGGCGTCTTCCACTCTTTGAACAACCAGTCTTGCTACAAGGTGCTCGGCCTAGGAGAGTGATCACTACGACTACACAGAAGCCTACAAAACCACCCAAGGCTACTCGAACTAAAAAACGAAAAAACCTCAATGTTACTTCTGACACATTAAAACCACTTTCTGATAATCTATCACAGAAAGCACAAACCTATAAGGACGACGAATCCAGCCTGACAGAGCAGAGTTCATCGGAGGAAGAAGTTCCTTCGAGGTTGACAACTGATGGCATATCTTGCATGCCCACAAAACGTAGTCCTAGCCCAACTATCTCTCACCCATCTGAAAAAGTTAATCCACAGGTTGGGTCTTCCGAAACCACATTTCAGCCCATCAATGGCATATCCGAAAGCGCTCGGCCTACTGGATCTTCGAAACTTCATGAAGTTGAAAGCGTTGAACCTTGTCCAGCATCCACATCATCACCTCCTTTCAATCTGGTCGCCAAGTGCGATAATAACCTTACAAGATTGGACCTACCTTCAGACTCGCTGACTACGCCCTTGAAACTTGAGTCTTTAACCCCAACAGATGTTTCACCAGTGCTCCAGGATACACTCAATATTCCCACCAACAACTCTTCCACACCAAAGCTAGATCCTTGTAAAGGCAAACTAAAAGAGGATCGCGGTATCAGTGAAGAAAGTGCTCTGACGCCTGAACCAGATGACGGCCGTCATAAAAAATCCAATCATGTTGATCTAATCAGTGATCAGGTCAATTTACCAACTTCCATTCCAGCTCGCATCATCTCAGCATCTTCGCCTCCAAAAACCACTCTCTCAACTCCACTCACATCACCTAGCGCCGAACCCACAAATCCGCCGCATCCTTCTTTACCATCACCATCATTTGCACAGACCAATAACACGACCTCTTCACCTTCTCTTCATCCTCAAGTGACCCGACCTCGTACTCTCAGCATTATTCCAACACCATTCACAGATACCAAATCAGGACTCTCCTTACCTGTCCTAGCTGATCAAGGGCCTGATACTGAACCTTCATCCTCCACCTTTGCGCCTTCTTTATTGTATCAAGGCTGGGAAACTGGATCATCTGTTCCAACTCCTCGATTACCTGATGAGAGCTCGAGACAGACTGAACTACTCAATGCTGTTACAAGCTTGACTGATGATGCTCTCGATGGTGAGCCCATCACTGATGATTTGACGGATTCTGAATTTCAATTCAAGGGGAACTCTAACCCAGAACCGATATTCAACAATCCTTCGGAGCTTCTCATCGCAGAAGACGCTGTGGATGGTGTCCCATTCATGATGGATATTGACGATCAGATATCCATTTCAGAAGACGTCAGATCCATTGATGTCGAAATTCAAGAACGGCCACCTACACCACCCATCACCACAGTCGAGCCAATGGTCATCACTGAATCTAAACCGGTGATTACAGATGCGAATCCTATCGTGGAGAGAGCTTCATCACCGCCCTCAGCTCCTACACTACCACCTGCACCCCTTGTTGACACCATTTATGAATGTGATGGTCAGTTTGACAAGTTATGAATCGGGATAGTCGATCTTGACTTGCCCTATAAACTGATTTTGACCTCTTACCAATTCGTATTTTAGATCAAGCTCGAAGGCGGGAAGAAGCCTTACAGGCAATGGTGAAGATTGAAATTCGGTTTGCACAGCTTCGAGATCGATTGTATGTTGAAAGGATGGCAGATGTACATCGTGAAACAGACGCCATACATCAAGGTCAGCATTCATCATATGAGTAGTAAAATGACGATTTCAAACTGACCAGCATAACTTGTACAGGTTCACATCCGGAGCTCAACGAGTATTATGAGATGTTAGAAAGGAAACGAAGTTCACGTTTATCATTAGCTAACAAGGTTTTCAGTTTGAAAGAAATCGAATTGAGCAAGAGAAGAGAAGCAGCTACGAATGCTGTATGGAATAAATGGAATGAAGTCAAAACTGATTTAAGGAATAAAATGATTTCGGAAACTCAATGTCAAATCAAACAAGTCGAAAGGGAAAGATCACAACCTGAGTTAAGATGTGCGAAAATTCTCAAAGAAATCATCAATTATGAACTGTCACTGAACTTGTTTGATGTATATCTCCTTTTTAATTAGATAATGTTGAAGTACAACTCTTACCAAAGGCGATTATTCCACAAGCCGTCAGAAGAAAGTCACGGAAACGAGCCAAGATTGAAGTTAATGATGGAAGAGAAGAAATTTTAGCATTAGAACTTCGATCTGCTATTGCTAAACGAGCATCGATTAATTTATCTTCACTTACACCTGAAGAATCATGTATGGATTTAGCTAATATGAAACCACATCAGGTAAATAGAAGATTTCTTGGTTAATTTTGATTTGACATCAAGTTGATTTTGGAGCTTTTTTTTCTGTTTTGGAATCTATAGTCAACTTACAATTCTCATCTGGATCCTATCCATATTTTACGACCATTACCACCACCATCACAAGCATCGACATCTTCTACAATACACACACTTCCTTCACAGCACCAACACCAACAACAACAACAACAACAGCATCATCATCATCATTCACTGACCTGTTCCACAGATCATCTTCCTAACTCTTCTTCTTCTTCTACTACTACTACATTTGGAAACCTACCCATTTCATGTAGTAAAACAATACCAAATCATTCAGACTCATCATCATCATCAACGACAACCACATCATTATTATTAAATAGATATCGACCAACGATGAATCATACAAGAGCTTCATTATCTACAATACCAGATTCGATCACGAATCCTAATAATTCTAATTCGATTGGAACGATGATGATGGGAAATCCTGGGATACGAAAATTAGATCAAAGGAGACCTACGTTAGATGCAGTGATGGCTACTACCACTACTACTAGTAACAATTCATTTCCTAGTAATTCTCATCCGAATGGAAATGGTGTGAATGGGAGTGGGAATTCGAATTCGACATCTAATATTTGTTCTTCTGCTTCTTCTTCTAATCGTCATAATTTATACCCTACTTTACCTATTACTGTGAATTATCATTAGATTTGTTTTTTTTCTGTGATCAAGAAAGAGTATTTGAACCGATTGATTTTTCACATGAATATATTATATATCTATTTATATACAAAGATACATATTTTATATTTATATATATAACAAGTATTGTTCTTTTTTTATTGTTCTTTTTTTTATTTTTCTTTTTGACTTCATTTTCTTTTTGGCTTTTGATTTGTGGGTTTTTTTGATTCATCTTTTATTTTTCTTTGTTTTTTGTAAACGTCTGTTTTATTGTGGTTGGAGATAGATGTTGAAATTAAATAAATGAAAAAGTTTATTATTTAAAAAGAAAAAAGAAGAAGAAGATATATATTATAGTACTTTATATACTTTTTTAAAGTTCAATGAATTAATGTTATTTATTCCTTCTCTATCTTGGTTTGGGTTATCCTTTGATTTTGATTTTGATTTTGATTGTTATTTCTTTTTGATTAGTTTTTGGAGAACTTGTTTTTAAGTAACAAAAGATTAATTTGTTATGAAGAAGAGTATGTTGAGAGTATTTATATCTTGAACTTGTTTTGTTTGCTTTAAAGGTTTCTTTTTCTTCTTCTTAGATTATCTTTTGGGGATTTTTTCGACACCTTGTTTTATTACTATTTTTTTTGAAATTCTAAATAATCAAAAATCTAACCTATGTGTATGGTGCCAAGTGGAAAGAACCACTTACTGCATTTGCATAGAACTTTGTCTTTTGTTTTCAGTAGAGGTACAACAGTTCTGAAATTGATCAAAAGGATGTACTTGAAGTTGGGTATGCTGGATGAGGTCTTGGATCAGTCCTAATGATCCATCATCCAGCACTTCAATGGTTTTCAGCAACATCATCATGCTCAACACCATCATCTTTGATCTTACCACTATCCCAACTTACCTCTGTTGATTTACAGACCACATCAAATTCAAAACACTTGTTGACCATGGTCCAGACTTTCCTTCTTACCCAAGCTCTGGATGGTATTTGCTTGATTTCATATTAAACAGACACAAAAAGATACGTCACCCTCTGGGCCAAAACATTGCTATAGTGTAAGACAGTCTGGCCCCAAGGCTGAGATATCTTTTGCGTGTCTGCTTGTACACAGAGAAAATGAGACTATACAATCTGGCCATCTAGTCGAAACAAGGAGTTTGTTCTGTCGACTGCCTGGTTTGCGATGACGGTGCGGTTACGTATTATTCCGAAATAGGATCCGTAGTATGCAAAACTGACGATACGTGTAAGTAAGCAAATTCTGCTCAATCTAATGCTCTGGAGCCGTAACTAGGCAAAAATTGCACCACCTACAATCCATTACTTTTTTATGATCCAGAGTATTATCAGATCACCGTTGATGTGCGATGGCATTCAAAAACAATTTATAAGTGTGACTCTTTGAGAAACATAACTTGTGGGTCGGCTTTGAATTTCTATCAGCCGATCCATGATGTTCTAACCTGTGATCACCTATACCATGTCACATTTTCACAAGTTAGATTATTGATACGAAGATTGTCATCTTTTTTACAGTCATTTAAGAAGAGCTTGCCCCAAATTCCCCGCCAATTCGCTTGAGTTTTGCGGGCAATTTGGGGCAAGCTTTTCTTAAATGACTGTAGGATTGTCATTTTTTGAAGGATATTTGTTTTACATTCAAGTTTAAGCTTTGTTCATGCATGCAAGATTATATAGAGTTGAATGAGTTGTGTTGAAAGTCATGTGGAATTGATTTGTTTGTGTGCTTTTGAATATATGTATGCTGACGGATGACTATTTTGTTTTGTTTTGTACTCTAGAAGATACTGAGTTTTGAAGAGTTCATCTGAAGCTGATGGATTGCTTGAGATGGTGTTTGGGAGTGAATAATGAGCTATGTATTGTGACAAGAATTGATTGTGCTATTTCAAGTCACGATGAATGGGTGCTGAGGATATGATATATGGATGGATGGATATAAACGGAGATAGAGTCTGAGATTGCTGAGTCTGGAAATACTGAATTCAAGGGTGTGTTCTGATTAAAAAGGGGTGATGGTCTAAATTTAAAAGTAAAGTGTTCGATTTGAAATTGGAAAAAAAAATTAAAAAATTAAAAAACCATTCGATTCGATTCGATTTCTGACTTGAACCACTTTTTCATCAACTTCACTATCACTATCACCAAGAACATCATCAAAATCAAAATCATGTCAAGAACACAATCCACTCCACCTGTCAATCAATACTATACCATTCAAAAATCAGAAACCAATCGTAAAGGTCCTCACTTTATAACATGTTTAAGTTCAGATGGAAATTCAAGTAAATTAAGAGATATCGGATCAGTAATCGATACAACTGGTGCTAAATGTACTTGGCATGCAGATGATGCTGAAACTCATGCTTCAGAAGAAAGATGGAAAAAATTACTCGGTAAAGCTTTGGCTAAACTTTTATCACTTACTGAAGGTAATTTTAACTTTTCACCTTTTTTTTTGAAGAGTTTAGTTTGATTTCAATAAGTATTGATGGTTTTTGGTTTTTGATTTTGTTTTTTGATTTGTTTTTTAGATAAGGCGGATGAGGATTGGAGACTTACGCAGTTTCCTACAAATTATAAATTGTATAGGTATACTAAAGGAGAAAGAGAAGATACTTACTTATTAGGTAATCTTTTTCTATTCTTTCTTCGATTCAATTTAAAGCTGATTTGATCGACTGGTTTATTTTGATTCAGGTTGTGACTATATTGCCAAGTTTCGAACAGCCAATGAATTTAGTCCTCATTTACTTTGGCTTTGTACACATGAACCTCAATCAGAGAATCGAATAAGATGTAAATGTAAATATTGTTCAAATAATAAATCACAACAAGCCGTGAATAGTACATTAGGATTTAGTGAAAGACCGATCAATCTTTCATCACCATCTTCATCTAAACGAGTTAGTCAAAACAAACGTAAAGCAGAAGAAGAGATCATCAAAGAAACCAATCGAAGAAAAACAATAGCTGATTCTAGTACGCTTAGAGCTAATCGAACTCATAATCCGAATTCAAAACCTACACGTAAATCACTACCTAATCGAGCTTCTGGTGCAGAAACGACTTTCAAAAAACCAATCTTCAATGGACCTTATGTTAATAAAGATCGAGATCGAGATTTATCTGAATTGAAATGTTCCTTTAGAATGGCTGAATTGGTTTGGTGTAAATTAGATGAACCTATCAATGGTGAATCAGAAGGTTATCCAGAAGTGAAAGTAGAATATTGGCCAGCGATGTGTGAAGAACGAGTTTTGATTAGTAATCCTGAAGTTTTGACTGACGTAAATCAAATCGTGAAACCGATCTCACCAGAGGAAGGCACCTCAACTGAAGGAATTCGTACTAGACGTAAATCTACTCAACTTCAAGTTTCTTCTCAACAATCTAATTCAAATCAAGGTGAGATCACACTTAAAGTTGAACAAAGATATCAATGGAAAGTTCGACTTTTAGGTACAAGTGATGTGTTTTGGAAATTAGAGGAAGATCTTTTGGCTTATCTAAATTATCCAACTCCATTTAATCTTTATAAAATCAATATCTCACCTTCAAGTTTAAAACATATTCAAGATGGACATGAAAGTGATAGACCATCCATCAGATCTTTTAAAACCTTATCAGAATCGATCACTGCCTTTGCCTTAAGTTTACAAATCTCAGTACATATTAAAAATTACTGGACTTTGATGGATAGATATGATATCCCGACTTTAAAAAAGAATGAATCAAGTTTAGCAGATGAAGAATTACAAATCTTATATGAAGATTCAGCCTTACCTTGGTTTCAATTTCTTTGGTGGGGTGCTGAAAAGATTTGGTGTGGTGAATTGATCCGATTAATGGTTTCAGCTGAAGATTTACCATTAGGACTTAGATCTAAGAGTAAAGGTAGTGAAAACCGATGTTATTTTTTAAAAATCACTGGAATCTATCGTAATGATAAAGAAAAAGGGATGATTAAAGGTCCAATCTTTGAATTAGCCAATGAATCTCAAATGAAATTAGATGAATTATCCAATGAAATCGAATTTAATGAATCATTACATTCTGCTTCACATTTATCGATTGTGAAACGTTATATGCCTTTACCACCACCTAATTTTTATTTTAGAAGATTAACACCGATTGGAAAAGAACATCATTTGGTTTTACAACATATTGCTGGTCGATATTATCCTCCGAATCGATTGACTAAACCTCCAAATGATTCATCTTTGATCAATGGCAATGGTGAAGGTTGTTCTAAATTGGATCCTTACTCTGGTAATCCTGAGTCTAGATCATTAAGCTTGTGTGGTTTAACTGAAGGCAAATGGTTACATATGCAGTTGAGTGAAGTTTTACCCAGATAATCTCATCAAATGAAATTCTGATTTTAGGGTTTTCTTTTGGTATAGTTGTACTAGATGGATTGGTGATCGTAAAGAATGTCTTAAAGCGGCTGAAACTGCTGCAGAAAAAGATGTAAGTCAAGTTATTTTTTTTATAATCATCTGAGAATCAATTCAAAGAAAGTTCTTAATGACTGATTTGTTTTGATTTGTTTTCAATCTATAGCTCTTAGCATGGCAAAACCCAAATGATACGAAATCAAATAAAGATCATAAATCACTTGAAATTGATGCTCAAGCGAAATTGGATGAAATTTCAAAGACTGAATTGATTAAATCGATTGAAAAAGATGTACGTTGATTTTTTTTGAGGAGGGACGCATTTATGAGCCATTAAAAATCTCTCTTCTGATCGAAATTGAATTTGGTTGAATTCTTTGTTTGATTTTGGATAGGTTTCAGCTTTAGAAATGAATGAACAAGTGAAATTAAATGAAATTACAAGTGGATTATTGAGTAATGATGAAAACGTCAAGGGTTTAGAAAAAGAAGAGAATCCAAAGTTGACGGAAGAAAAAGTAGGAGAATGGTCAATGGATGATATTATTATAAACAATCATGAGATGAATTTAACAAAGGATTCGAATCAAGTGATGGATCAAGGAGAGTTGAGAAATGATGAAGTGATGGAGAATTTAGAGGAATTGATTAATCATCAGATTCGGAATACTTCATTGGTGAAGAATTCGTCAAGATGAAGAAAAGAAGCTTGATTGAGGATTTCTTTTTTTATATAAAAATATTAGAATTTGGTTTAAACAAATCAAGTTTAAATAAATTTGATAGAGTTGAATGGAATTTGATTTGAATCAACAAATTGATGTCTTTTTGACTTTGAAGGATATATATATTTCATTATAAGATATTAAAAAATTATATTTGTGTGTGTTTGTTTGTTTTTTTCTTTGTTTTTCTTTCTTAGTTTCCAAGTGTGTGAATGTAAGGTTTCTACTTTTTTGTTCTAGAAAAAATAAAAATAAAAATTGGGTTTTGTTTGTGATTTTTTTTTTTTGGTTTGGAAGAAAGAAAAAGAAATTATATAAGATTTTTGAATTGAAAAGTGGGTTGGATAAAGTTTAAGGGTGCATTCACTTAAGTAATTTCTGACCAGAAATCATATTCTGTAAATTTTTTAATTCAAAAATGAAACATGTACCACCAAATAGACACTTAAAATTTTGCATAATGTGATTTCTCACCAGAAATCACTTAAGTAAACGTGCCTTGAAATAGTTTTGAGGGTTTTCATTTGTTGGTGTTTTACTTTGAATGATATTTGTAAACTTTTAAAGAAATTGTTTTGAGAAAATTCATACAAATGTTGAGCATGGTCAGTATTAAACACTCTCTCTTGATTGGATCCATGTATTTTTTTGCAATGATTGATGGGTATTTATATGACAAAAATTAATTATTGCAAAAAATGAAATTATCCTGATTG